GCCAATTCTTGAAGAAATTGTCGTGTTCTTGAGCGTTTACTAGTTCACTCATATCTACTCTTTGTGAGAGTTTTATTCCTGAGTGTTTAAGTGTTTTCATACACTTTAAGGGAGGTTGTTCCCTTGTTGTAAACTCGAAGGAAGTTCCTTGTTCCTTCGTGAGAAGTCTTGGAGTGCGGTATCTCCGAGCAAAGGTGTTGAGGCTCGTGTGACTCGGGTTCTCAAGTTGTATCGGTTTGTTAAGCACCCTTAAGCTTAACGGAGTTAGTGTAGCTCGAGAGAGTCTCTCGGGGGGCTGGATTAGCCACACGTTGTGGTGAACCAGGATAAAATTTGGTGTGCTCCTTCCTTACGCTCTTTACTTTAACGCTCTCGTTTTTAATTTCCTGCAATTTTGTTTTAAACGCTATTCACCCCCCCTCTAGCGTTAGGCCTTTATTCTAACAGTTAGCACTTGGACAAAGAGGTCGAACATCCCAAATCTGTTATACCCTTCATCCTTAACCACAAACAAGTAGTTCATATCTCTAAACTCACGTCGACACAACCAGAAAAAATCGAACGCGAATCAGACTTATTCCAATACCATGTCTAAAACTAACTCAATCAAAAAAATCAGGGAGTATTTTATTTTATTAATTTGAAATATTAATAAAATATGAGAGGAAAATATTAAATATGGAGTTTAATTTATTTTTTTTGACGTGGCTTGTGGGGTAAAACTTAAAACTGAAAGCGGCATATTTAGGCCCTCCAACCGTAGAAGAAGCATATTTGGGCCTACAACCATAGAAGAAGCAGATTTCAGCCCAATCCATATTTAAAAACTTACGGAGTACAAAATATTATAAAAATGTGTAATATAAAAGATATGATTGGAGTAAGTATAAAAAAATTAGAAGGGTAAAACATTGTTGATAGTGTAAAATGTGATTTACACTCTCAAATTTTAAACTCTCCTTTGAAGTTGCTCTTAGTAGGAAAAAGTGTTTTTATATCTTCTTCTATCATGTATGCAGGATTAAGATCTTGTTCTTTTGAGTTGGAATTTTAGAGTTGGATGTTGCAAAAATTGGAAGAAATTAGAAAAAACTAGAAGAAATGAGAAAAACTGAAAGAAATTGGAAAAAACTAGGAGGAGTTGGGAAATGCTGGAAGAGTGGAAGAATTTAAGAGTTAAAAAGTCACTCAATTACATGATCATCCAAATAAATATGTAAGAAAATTTGAATTGTGGATAAAATAGGATTTCATCATTGTCCGTGTTTGAGTTGATATAGCTGCCAAATTTGTCCATAGTTTCTCTTCATACCACACATTATCATTGGAACCCTTGATGCTCACTGTTGTCACGGCTCCAGCTCCACCCACATTGGATATCAACATCGAACTAAAGTATTGGGATGATTTTGTAATTGTAAATCTCACTCCATTGTTTCTTTGGCACCGTACCTTGATACAAATCGATAATAAATACTGTATATAAGTTAATAATAAGATACAATATAATCAAATGTATAAATGGATGGTGCATTGTTAGTTTTGAAAAAAAGAAAGGGTATCGGCGCATGCAATAAACTTGATTTACATGTATACCTTCTAAATAATATGGGAACGATTCCGGCTTTAAATTTGGCACAAGCTTGTATATATTGTAAATTTTGATGTCTATTAAAAAAAGAACCAATGCATAAGAACTTCACTTTAACAATATTTAAAAATTAAAAAGAAGTATTGGCATCGGTTATTTGAAATAACCGATGCTATTGATCAATTGCACCGGTTATTATATATAACTGATGCTAATACTTATTTTAATTTTTTGATTAGTTTTTAATAAATATCAATGACATCGCATTCTTTAAAATAACCAGTGCTTTTGATCTTTTGCATCGGTTATTAAAACAACAGATGCAATTGAGGCAGTCTATTTACTCATTTTTGTAGTAGTGATATTATAAATTTGGATATACTCCCTCCGTCCCAGAAAACTTTTCTCCTTTCTTTTTTCATCCGTCCCAAAAAACACTTCTCATTTATATTAAAAAGTCATTTTTACCCCTTACTTTTTCATATCCTACCTATCACATCATACCTTTTTTACTAATAATCTATCCATCAAATCATACTTTTACCCATCACATCAAAGGACATTTTTGGAAATTCAATACCAAAATACACTCCCATTAAATCTCTCTCCAAAACCAAAACTCCTATGTTTTTCGGGACGGAGGGAGTATAATGTTAGTTATTTTATATTATTAATATATAAATATGTTTTTAAGTCGGTGTTGGAAGAAACTAGAAGAAGTTGGAAAAAACTGAAAAGAATTGAAAGAAACTGGAAGGAATAGAAAGTTTAAAGTTAATTTTTCTAACTCAAAAGAACATGACCTAGATCGGGAAGAAAATTACTCACTTTGTTCCTTAAATGAATAACATCTTACACAAAATGAAGTAAAATTTTATTTTTTTTCAATTCATTATATTTGAAGATTGGTATATAAAAATAAAAAATAAAACTTCATGTTTAAAAAAAACTTAATTACCTATATAGTATTAAGACTGAGTTTTTTAGTACCATATATTTTAATTTCTCAATATAGTACCACTGTTCGATATCCATTGGACATTGTTGTTCAAGTAAATGTTCACCGAAACTGAACATTGTTCAATTAAATGTCCACTGTCACTGAACATTGTTTCCGCCACAGGATATTGTCTAATTACTATTTAAAAAATAAAAAGTTTTAGGTACTTCATTAGAAAAAGACATACGGAGGAGTATGTTTTAACACTAGTCCGTGTAAACTTCATTATTTTAAAAGTATATCAAAAATTCTGAAGACGTGAGAATATTTTATTTCGTGAAAATGTATGCGCAATATACAAAAGTTCTTGTGATTTTTGAAGATCGGGCAAATCTTTGGGAGTAGGAAACAAGGATTCATTAGAGGGAACAGCATATCCTTAAAAGAACCGTAAATCACCGCCGATTGAGTGTGAAGCCTCTAAGTGCGGTCTCTGCGCGTTCTCTTTGTCCGGTACCATTCGTCCCTTAACTCACAAAGGGACTGAAGGCATAAAATAAAAGCAGGTACGGTATTGATTATATGGTAGCTTCTCGTTCAGCTCATCTGTTCCTTGGCTTTTTGTTCCCAACATGGCAGTCCATTTTGGTTTTCCTGGTTACATTTTGGGATTCTGTATTCTCCCATATCTTGGCAGCCTTGAAACAAAGATTTTAATTAAAAAAACTGCAAACTCATGAACCCAATGTATGAGTGACTTATGTTTTTTTGTAATACATCAAAAATTGAATGAATAATACATCATGTCCACATTCACTTCTTTTGATTTGCATGCGACACAAGTTATAGTGATGAGTTAGTCAAATACTCCGTCTTAATAGAGAGAGTATTTGAGCATAATGTTCCCTTGAAATAAACAAGAAATTCTTATTGACTTTATAAGAGAGTATAATAAAGCCTCATGACACAAGACCCAAAATATAACTCTATTGTCCAATGCATACATATTATGAGGACCAGTACCATCTTAGGGGCTGTTTGGCAACTTCTGAATAGGTGAGTGCTGAACCAATAAGAGGTCTGAACCATTAAGTGCTGAACAAGTAAGAGGTCTGAACCATTAAGTGCTAGTATATTGCTTAACTATTCAGAGGCAAATGTCTGATCAATTCAGATAAGAGGTCTTAACCATTCAAACTCTGTATAATACTTAACCATTCAGAGGTAAATGTCTTAACCATTCAGACATCTGCTCACGAAACAAACAGTCTGAACCATTAAGTGTTGAACCATTCAGACATCTGAACCATTAAGAGGCTGAAACAAACAACCCCTTAGTAAACTTATGAGACTCTTAATAGCATTGGAGAAGAATCACAAAATGGGTCTAGTCCAAGTTTGGAGGGATCGATCGTCTCTGTCAAGGCGTAGTCTTTTTTGAGCCTTGCACGTGAAACTTTAGTTTTCTCAAAACTGAGTGGCGCTGAGTTTCGAACCCGTGAGTGACCTCTTAGTCAACAAGGCTCTGATACCGTGTCAAGGAACCAACTCAACCATAATCTTTGATTTTTTGTAGTTTTGATCTGATCTGGCCTGATCTGATCTGAATGGATCTGATATAATATGATTTGATCTTATTGAATCTGATCTGATTGGATCTAATCTGGTCTGATCTAATTAATTATGATTTGATTTAAAATTCAAATCAATAATTTGATTTGACTTTATAATAACATTTGAAATTTGTAATGATAATTCATATTATAATATAATCAATATTTTTTATTTTATGATTATTTTTTAATAAAGTAAAATTAGTTAATTCATATATTAGAATAGTCATTCATATTATAATTTTTATTTTATGATTATTTTTTTGTGAAATTAGAATATTAATTTAATATTTTAATAATTACTTCGTATATACATTAGAATAAGTATTTAATTTATATATACATTAAAAAGTAATTAAATTTAGATAATCATAATATAGAAGAGATTGTATTTTTATTAAAATATCCCATCCTTATAAAAGATCAAAACTTTAGAAACTCAAATTACAAGTAGCAATAAAAATTTATTTTAAAAGTAGAATTAGATTGACATTGTCAATGTATTTTAAAAATAATATTTACGATGTCTAATAATTAAGGATTATTTTCTCAGTTTTCTATTTAACTTGTTTTTAAAGTTTATTCTTTTTCATTGTTAAGAATAATAATAATAATAATAATAATAGTTCTTGATGGGATCTGATCTGATCTGGTTTGATCTGATTGGATCTGATCTGATCTTATTGGATCTGATCTAATCTTATTGGATCTGACCTGATCTGATTGGATCTGGTCTGATCTGATCTGATTCGATCTAATCTAATCTGGTCTGATTTTAATAAAAATAAGAAAAAATAAGTTGAACGGAACGGAGCCTTAGTCTTTTAGGACCGATCTCGATTTTGATTTTGTGATAAATGTTCAATAAATATGAAAAATACATTACATTCATATCCAAATTCATTTGTCTATTAAAATATCACAAAATTCGTAATGATAGGTTAAAGGTGAATGAAGAGAGAGTATCTTAGTAATCTAACTATAGAGTATAGATGCTCCTTTGAAGGGAACAAGTGATTTGCCTAAAACATGGGCACATTCGTTGGGTCGACACTAATAGCACTAATTTGATATGTGTTCAGATGATGAGGATAGAGGATTTGGGGAGTACTCCATTCTTATTGCTTTGGAATTTTTTCCTTTTTTTTCTTAGACTAAATTGCACCGTTAGTCCTTCAAATTTATGTATTATGCACGTTTAGTCTTTCAACTTTTCAAAGTCCGCGATTAGTTTTTCAAGTCACGATAGCATTGCACAGTTGGTCATTCCATTAACTTTACCGTTAATCTATGTATTTTTTGTTGGATATTGGAATGGAAGAAGAATGCTGCAGAGCAGCGTTAACAAAGAATGAGAAGGATATCCTGATAGAGTATAACGAATCACATAGAACACTTTTAGATCAAAGTTATTTTGGGGTATACGAAATACTTTAATTGGATAAGACGTTAATCAAGAAAAAGCACTGAAAATCGGATGCCTCAACCATACCTACGAGATTCTATTTATAGAGTCAAAAAATTGATGATTAGACATGAGCGTTCACGCGAGGAGATAAAGTCTGAAAAAACACAAAAAATTGCTTAAGAAGACAACCGTTCGCACAAAACGGTTCTTATGGTTTTTAGGGTTAATTTAGCATTTATCACTTTATCCACACATCCAAATCTTTCAACGTTTTGGACTCCATTCACGAAAAACTGAAGAATTTTCATAAAGAAATAACGTCTAAAATAAAAAAAATCAAGTTGTCCCAGCGACCTCGGCCAGGGGCTGCCGCCCCTTGGACCCCGCTGCCCAGGGCCTGCCACCCCCGAACCCCCGTTATGAATTTGTAATATCGTTAAACGAGTACGTACCCCGAGCCTCCTAACTCGTTAGACAACGTCTATTACAATTCTTGTCAGATCTAAGTAAATCACCAAAAAAAATTTAATTTTTCATTATAAATACATGTGAAAAAGTCTCTCTTTTTTCGTATAACAAAGTTATATTATATGTAGGTCAATTTTTTAATGACAATAAATTACTCTTACTTTTATTAGTCTATTTTTTTTTGGACACCTACCCAACTAGTCTAATGTTATCCCTCCAAACGCTCCTATCTAGAGTCATATCCTTATTAAGGCTAAGAAGTCCTAAGTCTTGTCTAATCACCTCCTTCTACCCCTTCCCCTACTTTACCCTACCAACGTTAGCCTCTCGCATCTCCATACTCGAGTATTGGCATTTCACCGTCGCACATGACCGAACTACCTCAACCTAGCTTCTTGGAGTTTATCTTCCACTGACGCCATGCCTAACTGACCTCGAATAACCTCATAGAGAATCCTATCCAGCCTTGTCTGTCCTCATATCCATTGTAACATACACATCTCTACTGAATGTAAAGGACACACGTGAATCTTCTTAATCGCCCAACATTGTCCCATAGAGCATTGCTAAAATTATATGTTTCTAATTTTAGTTTAATCAATAGCTCACATCTTATTACATTTTCAAATTTATTAAATTCAACTAAATAAAAAATGTAATAAAACGTGAGCTATTGATTAGACTAAATTAAAATTAGAAACATATGATTTTAGTAAAAATGCTAGTAACCCACCATGATTGACACTACAGATGACAACTGTCTATTAATTTGTACACACACATGCAATAATTATTTGTGAACTCACAGAGTTCATACACAGTTATCATATGTGTTGTCAATCATGGTGGGAGTTAAGGATGACTCTTGTCTATGCACATTTATAGAACATATGGTGTCAAATTTTGGTATCAAACTCCGGTGTCAAAACATAGTCACCCGTCTATCATATATAGTTGCGGCTATTAATCATCACCTATAATTGAAACGAGGAAAACAAATCTTTGAGTTCTTTCTTTTATCCTGGCCTGGGACCTGCCCGAAACCAAACAGCCAAGGAACAAAGAGAGTGAACTTAGCTTCTTCATTAACTTCAATCCAAAAACCTTTGAATTTGAAATGTTTTAAAGAGCTAATGCTAGAAAATACTCCGTAGTTAAGTACAGTATAACTACTAGTATTACAGATAGCCAGAGCTCATGCAATTTGATTGAACCCTTACCAGAATCACAGAAGGGTGGCAAAATCATGGCTAGATTGACACTTTAAGGTTCTGGATAAAACCCCACGTTTGGCCACAGGTTATAGGGGTTTTTTTGGTCAATATGCCTAATCCAGCCAAGCCTTAGCCTGGCACGTCACCCCCAAAGCATGCTAAAAAACTTGTAACCACTTCTCTTTTAGCCAATCCAGCCAATTTAACACTCTGGGTTTCCCTCGTTGGTGAATCATATCCTGCTCTGTAGGTTTAGAATCAACAATTAGATTAGGATTCTCTCTCTCACGTTTGATATCAGATTCTTTTACGCAATTCTCCTGCTTGACCATTATTTTCACGGGTTTACCGAGCACAGACTTGTCCTCCATTCTTGCTATTACAAGAGCCCTCTCACAAACCGGATATCCTTGATTGTCCCGCGACTCCAAGATCACGCCAGAGCCGAGACAGGTCGTCCTGTCATAGAAGGCAGTAAATTGTCCAGCAGCCAGACCCTGATCATCTTGAGACAGCTGAACAACGCCAACTTCTTGACCATCGCCATCAACTTCCATTGCCAAACTACAGTTGTAGAAAGTGGGGCCGTGACGAACCTAGAAAGATTAATAGAAAATGAATTGAGCGTCTAATATCAGCAGGTAATGTGATCAATCACTAATTGATTGGTTGAGATATATGGAGAAAGAGACAACACGTAAAGCACATCACTCAGTTCCCATTTGGTAGGCATGCTTTTTCACTTGTCTCATAAGATTTTATAGCAAACACCACTTATTTGAATGCAATAGGTGAACCAGTTGGCATATGATCGTAAGATAGTAGTGCAACATTCAGTTTTTGTGGGAAAAATGGCTTATGTGAAAGGAAATGACATTCAAATCCTCATTTTAGACACAGTTTTCTTTCATTTATAAAAAAAGCTAATTGAATTCAGCCAATTTAGTCAGTTCAACTACAAATTCAGCAAATTCAGCCTAGTTGGCCCAATGACATACGCGCTAGACGATAATTGAAAAGTGAATGGACAGGACTACAGGAGAAGTTTCAACACAAGGATATCAATCATATCGTGCATGAACTGGAAAAAATAGAAAGATAACTATGCTTTTCTTCTCATCTAGATGAAGTATTCAACTCTGACCAAAATAAAAATGACACAAAGAAGGGATTATAAAAGAACATGAGGCATCGATGCATGTTCCTAATCTAGCTAGTGATGATAATATTATTAAAATTTCTTGAAATTTAGTTTATTTTCTCATTTGCATGAAACTATAGTGTTAAATTACATTTAGACAAATAATCCACAGTTTGGCATCATACAATTCATGCCAGTTGGGATTAAGGTGTTGACAATCATAATGATGATTTCTTCCCGCTGCATATCTTTCTAAGAGAAAAGAACCATTCTTGCCTTGCATTGAAGTTGGTTTGTATGAGTAGGATAGCTCCCACTAAGCCATTTCAATGATCCAACACGAAATCGGCATCTTTTCTTATCAACAGAATAATAATTTCTTGACACAAACACCACATTGTACTTGGTGTCTTTCTCTACAACATACCTGGATACAATACAAAAGTGGTGATATTTAGTAGACCATAGTATGATTATTAATTAATTAATTACACTAGACTATAAGATCAAATTTTTTAATTGACCTTTGATAGGCAAGTGTGTTACCATGGGTGACAATAACATTATCCATAATGATGACCAAAGTTATACACTTCTCTTAGGTTGAGACAACCAAAATTGTAATGAGAAAAGGCTCTAGAATGTTTATACCAGGGTCCTCCAGGAAGGCGTAAACCTTGTCGTTGACCAATGGTGTAGAACCAAAAACCTCTGTGCTTTCCAAGATAATCTCCGGTCTCAGCTTCCAATAAAATCCCTTCTGCCTCCCCAATGTGTCTCGCAACAAATTCACTGAACTTTATCTGCAATGCAGTGTACACTAAACTAATATGATTATTTATAAAAAAAAGTGAAATGAGCACTTTTTCTTGAGAAAAGTAAATCCTTGAGAATATAGGAAGTCATATAGGACATAAATAAAATGTTCACTTGTCCTTCAACAATGCAAATGGCTTTTCAATTAAATGGGAAGTCAACCCTTAACACTAACTGGCGACTATATTCATGTTTAGGAGGGCTCTGTGGGGTTAAAATCAGATGAACAGCCTGAAAGCTCAATGTTACAGTACAGTTTAGGAGTAGGAGTAATATCATCATTTCAGTTCAGGAAGTAACACAAACCTTGCCAAGGAAGCATATTCCTTGTGAATCTTTACGGTCCTGATTTGGGAGATCAAATGACTTTGCAAGTCTTCGTACCTCTTCCTGCACACAATGGATTTGTTAAGAAAAACTATTGGGTCAACATATATTCAATTATGTCTTGTTTAAGAGAAATATCAGTCTTACCTAACCTTCGGTATGCATCCAAGAGGGAAAAGAAGTCTCTTAAGCTGAGACTGTGAAAGATGTGAAAGGAAGTATGTTTGGTCCTTTACCTGCAACAGAAAATTAACACACAAAAACCTAAGAATGATACTGCCTTCATCCATAAATAAACTTCAGTTTTAGGTTTACAATGTTTGACCGGAGTTATTTTTAATTCAATTTACTTAAATTAGTTGGAAAATTAAAAATAAATTAATATATTAAAAAACTACATCAAAAATTCTAAACAAGAGGTCCCTTGTCTATTTAAGGCAAATAAGTAAGGAAACAAGATATGATTTGAGCCTGAACAGAAAAAGTGATGTTAATTTAGGGACGGAGGAGTAGTACACTAAATGGACAATAATGGCTGAATGACTAGGAACAAACAAGAAGTCAGGCTATAAAACTGGAAGTATCTCACTATCTCAAAATATGAACAGAAAAATACTCCCACCGGTTTATGAAGCCTTTAGTGTTGATCTTTTTCTGGAATTGAGTGCTCATTTGAAGTCGGTTATTTCCAAGATAAATGCGGATGGCGGGTTCAGGCTAAGTTAAATACTTGTAGGGAGATTCTAGAGCACTAGTGGGGTTATAACTTATAAATTTGTATTATATGTTCTACTCCCTCCCGTAGTCCCATCTATAACAAAAAAAGATCTTGTTTGGTGCTTTAGTCATAAGTGAGGTGCCTCTTTTAAACTTTGTCAAGGCACAACTTCTAAAATTCAAAAATACTTAACTATTTTAATATTTATTTGATGTTTTACCTAAATTGATCACATTAAACTTGTTTGTAGCTTTAATTATGGAAATTAAAATGAAGAATTAACTCCATTTAACGAAATATGACTCTATTTTGGACCCAAAAAAACCTTTTGGAACATGACCTTTATTGGGGGTGGGGGGTAGAAAACTATTGAGGTTAGCAGTATTTTGTAGTGTGTGTATGCAACAAAATATATTCTTTTGCTCACTTAAACTTATAAAAGAGACAATTCTAAAGAGACCAAATTTTATTGAAGGTGTGGCTAATGGCTGCATAAAATGCTTACCATATCTTTTGACAATTGTAAAGCAGAAGGTTTGTGTGGTTGATTGGCATCTGCGTGAACAATCTTTGCATAATGTCCAGAAGCAACAAAGTCAAATTCCATTTTACTTACAGAGTCCATAAATGCACCTGAAAATTAAATAAATCAATTTCAAATGAAGCTGTGAGGAAATTGGGAAGCATTAAGTAGCTCTTGTGTGACAGAATTACAGACCAAATTTTATTCTTGTATTGCAGAGGACATCTGGATTTGGAGTTCTTCCAGATCGGTATTCATCAATAATATATGATACCTGAAAATATCAAGCATCATACCACAACATCAACCTAGATCTAACCCTAACTCAATGGGATCAGGTGCAGGAAACGATAGAATCTTCTGAAATAATCTGGCAAAAAACATCAATCGTCATAAAGAAAAAAATTGGTTTCCACAATTATATTCTAAAAATTCCCACATAGTCCTCAGCTACACTTTAAACATCCCTTACCAGCTAACACTTTCTACAACATTATCCCCCCCCCCCCAAACTCCATCTCACACTCTCACCAGAAGCCACATTAATCTTTAGAACATATGCTCCATCTCACACTCTCACCAAAACACTTTCTATAAAAAAATGTTCCGATCATCTCTGATGGAGCCAAAGATTCGCTATTTTTTGGCTTTTGGGGTATAATAGAATAAAGCAAAATGGCTCTTTAAACTCTATGCACTTCTTTTAATAGTGAAGTAGCGGTTAGTCAATGCAACTTTTGAAGTTCATCATGGATCATCTCAAAACAACTGCTCTATGTTTTAAATATATGGGTTAAGGTGCGTACGTGATTACCCGTGGCGTTTGAGCTAGGGGTCTCTTTGGAAACGGCCTCTCTACATTTGAGTAGGGGTAAGGTCTACGTACATACACCCACCCCATACCCTACTTTTGTGGGATTCAACTGGGTTGTTGTTGTTGTATGTTTAAAAAAACTAGAATATATACGTACCACCGCAACAATAAATATCAGAGGATGGCCAAAAGAATACCAATATATCCTAACAGAACATATATGATGTAGTTAATAAAAACTTTAAGGCATTGCTTACCACATTCTTCCAATATTCATCAGTCAAATGCACTACATGCAGAGGAACGTCAACCTGATTTCAAGTTTTATTTGATGTTAGAAAGGTAAGGACTTTATCATCCATCAATGGCAAACTAATGAATCTATAGCATTAATTAATTGTATCCAATTAATTGGCACTATAAATTTAAGGCCACAGACCGCAACTAATCATGATTAGGTTGCTGATAAAGATGAAGAAAATGATGGTGGAGGCAAACAAATGAAGAAAGTCATGGAACCTGATCACACACAGCTTTTACGTATTTCAGGTCCTCCTCCCATGGACACTCCGACCAGAAGTTCTCAAAGTCTTCCTATTAAGAGAGATGGAGAAGGGAAAATACAGAATTTACAATCAAATGTAAGGTTAATGATTTTGAGATTGAATACAAGTAGATAAATCCCTACTCTCAACTTAATTTACTGAAAATGATTGAAGCATTGCCCTCGAAACATGAATTCAATTTCAGAAAAAAAAATAGGTTCGCACCTGGAACCAAATTTTGAGATAGAAAGCGGTGCATGAGTGGCCGGCGGCGTGGAGGAGGCGGAGAGCGACGCTGCTATCGACGCCACCGCTGACCAGAACCGCAATTTTAAGCGGACTCTTCCCAGGCAGTGAGCAGGAGAGGTATTTGGGGTCGACAACATACTCCGATTTCAACGGAGAAGGCGGCGCGATGGGCGAAGTGGCGGAGGAGGAGGAAGAAGCGGATAGTCGTCGCAAAGGGCGTAGTGTAGTCTTAGCGTGAGAGTGGAAGATACTGTGAGAAAGAGGGAGTTGCAGGTGTGAGAAGGGTAGGGAGCGGTTGAAAGTGGAGAGGGTGTGACGGGGGAGAGAAAGAGAGGCCATGGCGAAGAATGCCACTCTCACTCCCAGCATGAATTAAAATTTGCACCACAAATCATTCACCAATCGTTATTGAGGATGGTTGAAGACCAACCACATGATGAGCTATGGTTCTTTATAAATGGTAAAATCTTAAAATTTACTTATTATAGTATGTTTGGAAACATGAAATCTGGATTTAACTCAAATTCAATGTTTAAGAAACTTGAATATTTTGAATTTGAATTTGAGTCAAATTCGTTTCAATCATATCAAAACTTAATTTGAAATTCATGTACATCTCCTTGTCATTTTAAATTCAAAATTTCAAAATTTAGAATTGAAATGCATGAATTGATATGAAATGCTAGTTGCCAAACACTACGTTATGGAATTGGCTTGATGCAATAGGGTTAGTCCACTATGAAGAGCGCTCTGTGTTTGCCATTAGTAAGGTTAAAAATAGTCTTAAAAAGAAATTCATTGGGGGAAGTGGTGAAGTGAAAATAAGTACACTAAGGATGCATTCACTAAGACTACATTCAAAGGCAAGCTAGTTCTCAGATTTACTCTCTTGTACTTGAGTCTGTCTTGCTTCCAAAAGCTAGGAATACACAAATTGATCACACACATTACTTGGACCGATGAGGAGGAGGAATTTTTAACCTATCCATGGAACTATGATGCCTTTATACTCACGATTTAGCACTTAAAAGGTGCCATGAATGACCAACCACATAAGTTCAAAACCAAAAAGTGTGAGGATCTTACCTACAAGAATATCAAATACACGTTCTATGGTTTTCCACTTGCACTCCAGGTAGACTTTTTACTTATATTCACTACAATTGGCTTTTAAGTTATATATACTTGATTTGCACTATTTTATATTTAGGTTTGGGTCTATGAAAAAATAGAAGGGCTCGCGGATCATTTTGCAAAGCGAGTGGCTAAGGATGATTGTTTTCTCTTGATTTGCGCTTCAAACAAAGCCCCAATATTTGCTATTTTGAAGGAATTAGTTTTTAGAGATACTCGTGTGATCTACCCTAGCGAACAAGATACAGTCACTAATGTAAGATTACATGCTACCACCTAACAAAACACAAACTATTCAATGTGTCCCAAGTCTTGTGCTTTATTCTATGAAGTGAAAAAATTTGCTTATTAATGATTTTTAGGAAGAGGTAAGAGAGAATTGTGAATACCAAAAAATTTGCTTATTATAGTGTTTGTACAAACACACCGAGTCAGTATAAAACCACTATGTAAAAATAGAGCAAGAGAATACCAAAAAAAGTCTCCACAATAGATTCAATATGCTACAAAATATAAATATTACTCTAGGTTAGGTGTTAAATATTTCATAACACTCTCCACTGTAGATCCAATATGATGCAAGTATACGTACATCACTTGGTAGCCACTGATCCATTTCAAGAAAGTATTTGAAAAAAAGTTGTCCGTATTGCAAAAGCATGATCAAGTGTGATCCTAAAACAAACGGAACGAGTGGTTTGGGTAAACACTTGACAACATACTGTCGCAAATCTCCGTGTTCCAAGCCACGTGACAAAAAGCATAAGACTTTAAACTTCTCTATCCCTCAACCATCCAATGGAAAAGGTGATGTAAAAGCATACACTTTTAACCAAGAATGTTGTAGAATGGCATTAGTTAAGATGTGTATAAAAGACAATAGGCCATTTAGCATTGTAGAGGATGAAGGATGTGTGGAATATTCATCGGCATTGAACCCAAAGTTTAAACTTCCTAGCTGATGGACAGTTGCTAAAAATTGTTTAAATATATACAAGGAAGAGTCTAAGGTCATAAAAATTCTTCTTGCAGGTAAGCATGTTTCCCTAATTACAGACACTTCGATGTCCGTCCAAAACATTAACTACATGTGCCTAACTGCGCATTGGGTTGATGATAATTGGAGGTTGGTCAAGAAAATTTTAAATTTTGTCAGATTTTCAACCATAAAGGAGACACAATTTGCATGTTGGAGTAATGCTTGTTTGGGCAAGTTGGTAACTAATAAAGTTTTTATAGTCACGGTTGACAATGTTACTTCAAATGATGGGGCTATCAAGTATTTGAAAAAGGAGTTAATGGGACTTGATTCAATACTTGATGATAAGTATATGCATTTGAGATGTTGTTCTCACATTGTTAATCTAGTTGTGAGAGAAAGGTTAGAAGACCAACATGATTCCATTGTTAGGATTAGAAATATTGTGAGGTATGTCAAATCTTCTTCTGCGCGACTTTTGAAGTTTGATGATTGTGTTGAAAAGGAAAAGATAGGATGTGAAAAAAAGGTGTCACTTGATGTAGACATAAGATGGAACTCGACATATTTGATGTTAGAGACAACAATAGGATATGAAAAGACATTTTGAAGACTTAAGCGAGAAGATAATTACATCTTATTTCGTTGATGATAATGAAGATGAGTTTGAAATCAACACAAGGAAAAGAAAAAGGAAGCGAAAAGTTGTTAGAGCCCCATGTGAGGAAGATTGGACAAATGCAAGCTAAGGTACTTTGTTGAGTTTCTTAAGATATTTTATACCATTACATTGAAAATTTCAGCTTCTAAACATGTCACTGCAAATCTGTTCTTCAATGAGATTGTAAAAATGCATGTGAAAATTTCAAACATGTGCCTTAGTGGAGATGAGAAATGTCGTAGTATGGAAATACAAATGAAGCAGAAATATGACAAATACTTGGGCAATATTGATAATATCAATTTCTTTTTATATATTGTAGTTGTGTTGGAACGCTCCACAAACCGGCCTAATAGCTAGCCAATATTTTAAATAAATAAATATTATTTATTTATTGAGACTCATTATTTTGAATTAATAAATATTGAGATTTTCATCTCATTAGATTGACTTCAAAAGTTAATGTATTTTAATAACGGGCCTCTCCACATTAATTAATTAAATAAATTAATTAATGATTGGGATAGATCCAGAAGTTTGAAAATAAAGGTTTTAGAAAAATATTTTGAACATATCATAAATTTAGTTTTGACTCATTATTTCCGAAAATGCAATATGTCTTCATTTCGGACCAGGTCGGGGGGAAACCGCGTACCGTTTAGGTCAGATTTCACACAATGGAGTGAATTTATGGGAGGTAACTCCCCATAAATTGTAGTTCATCCAATAACTCTTGCAACTCTTTCACAATGTCATCATGGAAGTTGCGTGCTCTTGTGCATCGAATACTAAAAATAGCATAAGGTTTTGTTTAAGTTCTTAATATTATAAAGAATGTATGCATAATATTACATAATTTACTAATTGGATAGATGTGTGTGTGTGTGTGTGTATAAAATAGGAATTGACTCCAGTCAGATGACATGTTTCGATCATATGACACTTTTGGTCAGATGACAGCGTATGATTCATTCTGGATTAACGTAGTGCTCATTCTAACCCAACCTAGGGTTCATTCTCACACAATTGTTCATCATAATGTACTGTTCATTTCAAAACAACATAATGTTCATTCCAAGTGAGTCAATTGACAACATAGAGTTCATTTTGAATAACATGATGTTCATTCTCACACATTTGCTCATTATATACCTAGTACTCATTTTAAAATAACAAAGTACTCATTCCTAGTTTGCTCAGAAAAGTGTTCATTTTTAAACAACATAGTGCTCATTCTCAAACAAGTTGGTGTTTATTCTAAAGCATGTCATCTGACTGAAAGTGTTATCTGACCGAAACATGTCATCTAACTGGAGTCTATATATATATATATATATATATATATATATATATATATATATATATATATATATATATATATATATATATAGTAAATTCCATATTTTGTCCTTTATTATCAAATATTACCCTCGTAGTCCTTTTTTAATGGTGTCTTTCCACAAATGGTCCATTTTTTATCTTCCTCCATGTGGGTCTTAATTTAAAGGCTAAAAGAATAATTTGACATCAACATTATATCTAGTGACGTGTTCTGATATTGGTGAAGCGGATAACACAAAAATAAAGACTATGATTGTGGGTTAGGATTCCGACGGAAGACCACATTTGTAGACTATGGTTGTAGTAGTAGAAAGCGAATGTAATTTACAAACGACGCAAACGAAACAACCTTTGGAATTGTGTATGGCAAAAAAGATATATTATCATTGTGAAATTACACTTTTAGCCCTCAAATTAACTCCAACATGATAAAAGATCAAAAAAGGACTATTTATGGAAACATACCCATAAAATAAGGACCACTGAGGTAATATTTGATAATAGAAGACTAAATAGGGAAACCCCCCTGTTATAAAGAACCAATTATAGAATTTACTCATATATATATATATATATATATATATATATATATATATATTTGTGTGTGTGTGTCTGACACATTGAATTAGGTGGACAATCGAATTTCATCCGATTAGTAAACTATGTAGTATTATGCATACATTCTTTATAATATTTAGATATTAAACAAAACCTTATGCTATTTTTAGTATTCGATGCACAAGAGCACGCAACTTCCATGATGACATTGTGAAAGAGTTGCAAGAGTTATTGGATGAACATAACGTTCTAGCAAAGTCTTTTCAAATGGCTAGAGAACATTTAACAAGTGACTTACATTCAAATGTCAGACTCAAGCTTGTAGGTTGTAGGAAAAATGATGCAAGGACATATTCACTACTGACTGTCACTAAAGTTGTTGCGTTATTTGTATGAGATTTTCATGAAGAAATGAGTGACCATGATATAGTTCAGACTAAAAGCTAAGAACTACAGCGGATTAGTGAACTGCATGCATCATATTTGCCTTTGAAGTATCCTTTGCTTTTTCCTTATGCTGAGGATGGATATACGGAGGATATTTTATTGGCTAGATATGATATGCCTGAAGAGGATGATCAGATTGATGAGGAAGATGATAAAAGATACGTTACTATGAGACAATTCTTTGCGTATCGAATTCACGATAAATGAGCAGAAGTCTCGGTTATTTTACATGCTAAAAGATTGTTTCAACAATTTGTCGTTGACGCATATACAATGGTGGAGTACTCTAGACTCACATTCGCACTCATCAAAAAGAAATCCGATATGACTTGTATAATGGCTTGAATGATGCTCTGCTTCGTGGTGAAAATAATGCAGCACTGCAAGGACAACGTATAATTTTACCCTCATCTTTTTTTGGCGGTGCACGGTATATGATTCAAAATTACCAAGATGTGATGGCTATATGTAGATGGGCAGGTTATCCTAATATTTTTTTTAACTTTTACCTGTGACCCTCACTAGCTAGAAATTTTAAGACATGTACAGATAGGGCCGGCCCAATAGGGGGACATAGTGTCCGTCCGGGCCGGGCCCAAGATTTTAAGGGGCACAAAATTATTAGTTTTAAATTATTATATATATACGTACTGGCCCAATCCACAATCCACCCCATTTAAGGCCGGCCTAATCCACTCGGCTTACTTACTCTACCGGGTAAACAAAATAAAAAGAATTGATAGAGACGCGGAGCCTATAGCCGAACTGTCGAGTGCCGAAGAAGCGGAAGAGCCGAAGAAATATGCCGCCTCTAGCAGACGACGCTGCCAGACGCCGACCTCCGCCCTCCACGTATTCCATATTCAATTATTCATAGCTTTTCAATTTTATAATTTTTATTTCTTAATTTTCTTTCATTGTTTCATTTTATAGATTTGAATCTAGGGTTAATTATTAGTTTCTATTTGAAATCTTTTCTAATTTCATTGTTTGAAATAGAATGAATTCATGGTTCTATATGTTATTTATTTGATTTGGATGAATTGATTTGAATTTGTTATTTATGATATATTTATATATAAAAAATTGAAAACCGAAAAAAATTAAAAATTGATAAATTGACGAATTGATATGAATTTATGATTTATAAAAAAATTATAACTGAAAAACTAAAAACTATTTTTTTAAAAAAAAAGAAAAACTAACAAATTGGTATGAATTTATGATAGATCTATTTATTTGCTTGCCTTTTCAGTTTTTCATCTTTGATTTTACTAAGGTAACTAAGTAGTAAAATTTATGAATTTGGATTTTATTTCAGAAATAATTCAATAGTTATGGCTCCTAAACAATTATCCGGTAGTCAAAAAAGAAAAAAAAGAAAACGATCATTAGGGGATTTTTAGGGCCTTTTTTAAGGCCTTTGTTCGATAATTTGGGATAAGATTTTTAGGGCCTTTTTTCTATTTCGGTCCAGGCATATGTATTCTCAGGACCGGCCCTGTGTACAGAGCAAAGGTTTAGCCCCTGAAGATCGTCCAGACATTGTTTGCCATATTTTCAAGGTTAAGTTAAATATGTTGATGAAAGATATTCGAAAAAAATTGGACACGGTCCAAGCAGGTATTTATTAAAAAATATTGTATCTCACATTTATTAAAAAATTATACATTACAAACTAAATTACTTTTCATTTTTTGTTGCAGCAATTTACACTACTCAGTTTCAAAAGCGAGGTTTGCCCCATGCATATGTGTTGTTATTCATACACAACAAAGATTTTATTCTGACAACAGATGACATTGATAAGATAATAAGCGCAGAAATCCCAGAGAAGATAACAAATCCTTATTACTATAACGCAGTTAGCGACTTCATGGTTCATGGTCCTTGTGGTGTTGTCAGACCTCACTCGTCGTGCATGTCTGAAGGAAGGTGCACAAAACACTATCCTAAAAGATTTGTTGATAGAACTTCTATTTCCGAGGATGGATATCTAGTGTATCGTCGACAACACAATCAACGCACAATATTGAAAAACAATATTGCTTTAGATAACCGATATGTTGTTCCACACAATCGGTTCCTATTGATGAAATACAAAGCACATATTAATGTAGAGTGGTGTAATAAGTCACAATTAATTAAATATTTGTTTAAATATGTTAACAAAGGTAATGATCGTGTGACTGCTTCGTTTGTAAGCACCCCAAATGAAAGAGAACGGGAAAATGTGGTAAATGAGGTGCATCAATTTTATGAATGTCGATATATATCACCATGTGAGGCATGTTAGCAAATATTTGCATTTGATATGCATTTTAGGGATTCTTTAGTTCAAAGGCTTTGCTTTCATTTGCCTGACAGACAACCTATTATATTTTCCAAAGATGAAATTCTGCAGTAGATTCTTGCTCACAAAGCAATCAACCATAGCATGTTTCTTTCATGGTTTGAAGCTAATAAAACTTGACCTAGAGCCAAGCTTCTTACTTATGTTGAGTTTCCTACGGAGTTTGTTTGGAAAAAATAAGAAAGCATGGGAACCACGTAGGCAAAGATTTTCCATTGGTCGTCTGTATTATGTTCCCCTAGGTTCTAGAGAAGTGTACTACTTACGTTGTCTTCTCAACTTGGTTAAGGGTCCATAAAGTTTTGAAGATATTCGAACTGTAGATGGCATTGTATATCCTACATTTCGAGACACATGTGGTGCTTTAGGGTTGGTTGACAATATTAAAAAGTATATTGATGCCATAATTGAAGTGAGTAACTGGTCTTCTGAGAGATCTTTGCGAAATTTATTTGCGACTTTGCTAGCTTCAGATTCGTTGGTGCGCCCTGCGGATGTTTGGGAAAAATGTTGGACATATTTGTCAAATGATATTCTTTATCATCAACGCACAGTTTTACGGTTCCCAGGTATGTAAATTTATTGAAATGAATATTTTCTTAATTCTAATACGTATTTATTGCTGATAAAACTTATCCTTGGCTTGGCTTTTGCAAATTTGTAGCTTATAGATGAGGACATCAAGAACTATACACTTGCAAAGATAGAGTCTTTGTTGAGAAGTTATGGAAAGAGTTTGCACGATTATCATTTCATGCCTTATCGTGAAGATAACTATTTTCATCTATTTGAAAATAGACTCATTAATGATGAACTGTGCTATGATCGAAAACAAATGGCTGATGAACATGTAAGACTATTATCTCAAATGACTCCTGAACAAAAAAATGCATACACTTCAATTATGGCTACAATAGAAGGTAATAATGGTGGTATGTTTTTTGTATATGGATATGGAGGCACTAGAAAAATCTTCTTATGGAGAACATTATCCGCGTCGTTGCGCTCCAAAGGAGATATTGTTTTGAATGTTGCATCAGGTGGCATTGCAGCTTTGCTTTTTCCTGGCGTGAGGACTGCACTTTCACGTTTTAAAATTCTTATCACTCCCAACGAAGATTCAACGTGCAATATTCACCAAGGTAGTCCTCTTGCTGAGCTGATAGTAAAAACTAAACTTATAATATGGGATGAAGCAGCGATGACTCACAAATATTGCTTTGAAGCATTTGATAGGAGCTTGAGGGATATCTTGCGATCTAAAGATGTCAGTAATCAGTTCAAATCTATTCGTGGAATTACAATAGTGTTTGGTGGGGATTTTAGACAAATATTACATATCGTAGTGCCAAAAGGGACGAGACAAGGTACTGCCAACGCGACGCTTAATTCGTCTTACTTGTGGAAAGATTGCAAGATCTTTAAACTAACAAAGAATATGCGCCTATCTAACAACCGTTTGCATAATTCGATTGAAATTCGACAATTCACTGAATGGATTGCCAGTATTGGTGATGGTAATGCAGGTGGTCAAAATGATGGTGTAGTTGATATTATAATTCCACCAGATCTTTTGGTAAAATGTAGTGACGACCCAATTGAAGCTATTGTTGAAGAAATATTCCCTTCAAGTTGTGTTGATGTTGAGAGTACAATTCTAAAGAAGAGGGCTATATTAGCCCCAACAATGGGAGTTGTTGAAGTAGTTAACCAGTTCATGATGTCAAAAAACAATTCAGAAGAACATGTTTATTATAGTGCAGATGCCATATACCAATCTGAGATGAGCTATAGCTTGGTTGGAGATTTACATACCACTGAATTTCTAAATACCATCAAATATTCTGGGATTCCTAGTCATGAATTGAAATTACAGGTTGAAACACCCATTATGTTGATGCGTAATATTGACCATGCTAATGGTTTGTGTGATGGTACCAAACTAATTGTAACAAAGCTTAGGAATCGTGTCTTAGAAGGAAAACAAATTACTGGAACAAATGCTGGGGAGAAGATATTAATTCCTCGAATCTCATTGGCATCATCAGATACAAGGTTGTCTTTTAAGTTTCAAAAAAAATAATTTCCAATCATGGTCTGTTATGAAATGACAATAAACAAAAGTCAAAGACAATCGCTTTCCAATGTTGGAATTCTTCTAAAAAAGCCACTATTTTTCATGGATAGCTGTACGTTGCAGTATCAAGGGTTACAAGTCGTTCGGGTTTAAGGATTCTGATATGTAACGATTAAGATAAACCAGAATGTGAAACTGTGGATGTCGTGTATAAAGAGGTTTTCACAAATATTTGAACTTTTATTTGAAATTCAATTTACATGTATGTTGTATAATTTGTGCACTCTATTAACATTATACTAAACTATATCATCTACAGCTAAATGAAACTATTTAATATAATTTGATTACTGCAAGTTAAATGTATGATATCCTAATTAGTAATTAACATTTTAATCCTTGCGTTACTAACACTTACATTAATAATGATTTGCATTAATAAATAAAAATATACTTACACGTGAATCACACGAGTGAAATACTAGTTTATTTCAAAATTAATTTACAACACTAACTAAATAATGATTCAAAACATTAATTCAAATTGAAAACCCCTATTGCCAAATTATTAAAAAAAAAGTCTTTCAACCAACGACTTATCACGGTCAATGGCGATGGGAACAGATTTTCCAAAAAAAAAAAAGAGTTTCATTTTAGTCTTACAACCTTGTTGGAATATTCACGTCGGATGATGCCTTCTTCACATAGACCGACAACGACAACAAGTCTTCCTTCCCACAAACAAATCCTCAAACCCAGTCACTCTTATAAACCCTCGATTCGACGGAGTGTTTTTGCTCGAACCAGAAGCAGGTTTTTGATTCAAGATCAGATTACCAGTTCAAAAAAAAAACAAACGAACATTAGAGATGATGATTAGTAGTAGCAGTAGAAGTAGAGTGATCATTCTGGTCGCGGTTCAATTGTTTTTGTTGCTGTTGTTGGGCGCTTTGGATCTGTCCTCAGCTCACGCGGGAGAGCAGCCTTTGTCCAAAATTGCTGTCCACAAGATCTCTCTTGCTCTCCGCCATTCTTCCTCCATTGAAGCTTCTCCTCTTGTGCTTGGTCTTGAGGTGATTTGTACAATTCTTTTGCTTTTGAGTATTACCCTTTCTTTTAATGAAAATAAAATTCCTGCTCTGGGGTTTGTGCTACTTTTTTTTTTAAACTCTGTGTTTTTTGCTATGTCTATTTCCAATGGAGTTGTTTTTTTGACTTTTTTAAGCTTCGGGCGGAATAATGGACAAAATAAATATGTACATTTTGTCCCCAGGTAGTCGAGATTATACTGCGGTTGTTTTTGTCGTTGTTATTATTACTACTATTATTCTGGTGGTTGCTAATTGCTATTGTATATGAATGGGGCAAATATGTTATGAACTTTTCTTTAAGATTGAAAGTTTACATGTAGACTCTTTGATAATGTTGCCCCCTTTTGTTGCACTCTCTAACGTACGAAAGATGAATGCGAGAAAGAGAATGGATGTTTGTTGTGGCTTCGTTGCCGATCTAACTCTATAGCATTAAGCAATAATGTTATAAGTATGATATGATGATTGGCAGGGTGAAGACACTGAATGGGTTACTGTGGACCTTGAACATGAAGAGCCATCTGACGATGACTGGATTGGGGTTTTTTCTCCTGCAAAATTCAAGTAACTTTCATCTTTGAAGAACACTGTACTTAGCGTTAGGATCATGCTCCCCCGTCCGTGTTTAGCTGTTCACCTTCACTTTTTAGGAACATCCAGAGAATTAGCTGGCCACTTACATTCAGAGAACAAAATTACATGAATTTTCCAACTTATCCCCAGGAGGAAAAGTACCTTCGACCTTCCCTAATGTTTCCTCTGTCGCCCCGCCCAATGGGCATTCAGATACGAGGTATTTTCACTAGGGTGTTGCTAAATGCCTAAATCCACCCCTTCTTTGACTAAATCCACACCATTTGTTATAAATATACAAAATTGCCCCAAAAAGTGTAAAAAAAGGAAAAAGCACATGTGAAACTAGTTAAGGATAAACTTGTCCAATATCCATAAATGGGGTGGGTTTAGCCAAATATGGGGTGGATTTAGCAACACCCTGTTCACTATTTTGTCATATTGTCAGAATTCTTAAATTCGAGTTATGGACAACTAAATATGGACAGAGAGAGTAATTTCTTTTTGTAGCGCGTAATGCAGAAGGTTTGGTTGTTTTACACTTTAATAAACCGAACATGGTTTTATTTTTCAGTGAATCAACATGTAATCCAGAGAGTGACCCTAAACAGCAGTCTCCATATATATGCACTGCCCCAATTAAGGTTTGTTAAGATCAAAATTTATGGTAAGGTTCAAGGATGGTTTTGAATTCTTCTAACAGCGAATGACCTGCATTTCTTGCAGTACAATTACGCAAACTCTGATTCCAGTTATACAAAGACGGGCAAGGCTTCATTGAAGTTTCAGCTAATCAACCAGCGAGCAGATTTCTCCTTTGCATTGTTTACAGGGGGGTTGTTAAATGTATGTAAAGCAGCAACTCCGTCTATCTATATGCATCATTTAACTATTTATCATACTTCAGAGCCCATGAATGATCTTATCTAGATTGTATAAATACATGCTTAAGTGTTTATTGCAGCCAAAATTGGTGGCAATCTCAAATAGTATATCTTTTGCTAACCCTAAAGCACCATTATACCCGCGGCTTGCGCTAGGGAAAACATGGAATGAGGTAAGTTTACATAATTAGATGTAGTTTGTATTTACTTTTGAAGTGTTTTGATCAAATAAACGAGCAAAATTATTACTATAAGTAACAGTATCGATTTCTTAGCTTATGTCCATTTTGTTATATGCAAACTTAATGAGAACAATGCCACAACAATCACTCCAATGCAGCTTTTTTTCTTCTCACAACAAGTAATGAATTTTAACATAGTTTGTAAAATTTTATTTTCTCATAGATGACAGTTACATGGACAAGTGGATATAATATAGATGAGGCTGTTCCTGTTATTGAGTGGGGTTTGAAGGGTCAATTAAGGAGACAATCACCAGCTGGAACATTGACGTTCGACCGAAACAGCTTGTGTGGTATGTCATATTTAATAGTCATGTCATCTTTGTATTTTTCTATTATAGTATTATACAAAGTAGTTTTTAGGTAATTAAAGTGTGTATAACCCATTTTGTTTTTTGCTATTTAGACAAAATATTCTGTTTATTTTTTCGCAGGTTCACCTGCAAGAACAGTTGGTTGGCGTGATCCAGGTTTCATACACACAAGTTTCTTGAAGGATCTGTGGCCAAACATGATGTAAGTTTTTCCTGAAGAAGATGATTCCACATTCTCTTTAATGTTCAAGCCATCACTTTATCATTACTTATCAATCAAGCCAGCATTAAACTATTGTTTTATTAATACTTCATCCATCCTGAAATTCTCTTCCCACTTTCCCTTTTGGATTGTCCTAAAATTATACTCCCTCCGTCCCAAAAAGTCTTTCCTGTTTACTATTACGGTACGGTCTCTCGATAACTCTTATTTGTTTGATGTTTTCATTGATCATTTGATAAAATAAAATATTCTTGTCACCTCTTATTTTGTAGAGTTTTCGATGTAGTCTTTAAATATAATTTTCTTATGTGTTATTTCTTTACCAATTTGCAAATAAAATGATTTTAAAAATCATGAGATTTTGCACGTTAATCAAAGTAAGAAATTCTTTTTGGGACGGAGGGAGTATTTCATTTTCTTTCAAGGAAATGTTTATGTGGTACACATTTTTTGCCTCAATTTTAAATCAATCACAACTACACAATTTCACTTTTCTTAATCACAGTTCCAAGTCAATGTGGGAAAAGAAATATAGGACAGAGGGAGTAATACTTGCATATTTAGTACACACTTTTAGTAAAACTCTCACCAAAAAGACAAAAGAAGTCAATTTTCATCGTATTAAAATATTCATGTTGTTTTATTAAAAAAAATGTGTCCCAAAAAAGCTAGTTATTAAATTTAGTTAAACCAACAAATAATTTTAAATTATTTTTATATTTGGTGATTTACAACAAATGTTCCTTACTAAAAGTGAAAAGTTGTACCTTTCTATGGGACATGGGGAATATATTTCAACAGCTGACTAATCTGTTGTGGTTGCAATTATACTATATTTCAGGTACACCTACAGAGTAGGACACTTCTTAAAGACTGGTTCATATGTTTGGAGTAAGAAGACATACGCGTTTAGATCATCCCCCTTTCCAGGACAGGACTCCGTACAGAAGATTATAATATTTGGAGACATGGGGAAGGTGACTTTTTCCAAGAGACCAGATCAACTTTTGTATTTTCTCCTTAACCAGATCATATGACAAATACACTCAATTTCAGGCAGAACGTGACGGGTCAAATGAATACAGTAATTACCAGCCAGGCGCACTAAATACAACCGATAGACTCATCGAGGACCTTAGAAACATAGATATAGTATTTCACATAGGAGATACCGCATATGCGAATGGTTACTTATCACAGTGGGACCAGTTCACAGCACAGGTTGAACCCATCGCGTCAAGAGTACCGTATATGACTGCAAGGTTCGTGCAACTCATCACTGATGATGGTTTTCGAATGTGTCAAGCTTTGTTCTTATTTACTCCCTCCATCCAGATTTAGTTGTTCACTTGTTTTGTTCGTCTGGAATTAGTTGTCTGCTTTTCGTATTCAACAAAGAAATTATGATGAATTGTCTAAAATATATTGGAGATGAGACATGATCATTGTTGATGTGATTGAGTGACAAACCCATTTGAAGGACTTATTTGGCATTTTAAACTCATTGCTTTAAAAATGGGTGTTTTAAGAAAGCGGGCAATTAATCCCGGAAGGATGGAGTATTTATTTGATTAGTAACAAGATCATGTGAACCTTGTTCTTGCAGTGGTAACCATGAGCGTGATTGGCCCGGGACAGGATCCTTCTATGGCGGAATGGATTCTGGTGGTGAGTGTGGGGTGCTTGCCGAAACCATGTTTTATGTCCCTGCTGAGAACAGGGCTAAGTTTTGGTAAATCAACATGTCCTTTCTTCTCACAGTATATTATATAATGCGTCCTTAATACTTTTATCGACAATAGACTGCGTCCATTGTTAATGTAAGAGTCAATTTTGTCAATATTTTATTTTGGGGTGAATAATGGACTAAATGAATATGCCACATTAAGCTTTCTTTGCTTCTTAATTACTTTGTAGTTTTGGGTAGTAAACATAGTAACACATCAAAGGTCTAGAAGAAGAATAAATTTTACGAGTGGTACCTGAACTTTAGACGTTTTCTCAATTAAGTACCTAATCTTCATTTTCTATCAAAATAATTCCCGAACCATACCAAAAATTTCAAGAAAAAGATTTTAACTGATTTCAGGTCATTTTGCTTAGTCAATCGTGTAGCATTGCATGATGAGTGTGATTATACCAGTCCAACTTAACTTCTACCTCATAGCAGTCCAACTTAACTTCTACCTCAAGGAAATGACCGGTAGATGAGCTGAAAATAATTTAAAACTTTTCCTTGAAAGATTTGGAAAAGTTCAGGTTTTTTTTATAGGAAATAAAGTTTAGATACTTAATTGAAAAAATGTCCAAAACAGTCACAATCCTAATTTACAATCTCCATTTCAGCATCTCTCTTAATAAAACTCATCTGTTACATCTCTTTACTACAGGTACTCTGCAGACTATGGCATGTTCCACTTCTGCATAGCAGACAGCGAGCACGACTGGCGGGAGGGATCCGAGCAGTACAAGTTCATCGAGAAATGCTTTGCCTCTGCAGATAGGAGGAAGCAGCCATGGCTGATTTTTGCTTCCCACCGAGTCCTCGGTTACTCTTCCGACAAGTATTACGCCTCGGAAGGGTCCTTTGACGAGCCCATGGGGAGGGAAAGCCTGGAGAAGCTCTGGCAGAGGTACAAAGTGGACATTGCGTTCTACGGTCACGTCCACAACTACGAGAGGACTTGCCCAATCTACCAGAACAAGTGCGTGAACTCCGAACGGTCCCACTATTCCGGCACGGTGAATGGGACCATACACGTGGTCTCCGGTGGGGCCGGGTCCCACCTGTCCGAGTTCGCGGCGATCAACACCAGTTGGAGCCTGTTCAAGGATTACGACTGGGGATTCGTGAAGCTCACCGCGTTCAATCACTCGTCGCTTCTGTTGGAGTACAAGAAGAGCCGGGATGGGAAGGTGTATGATTCTTTCTCTGTGTCTAGGGACTACAGAGATGTGTTGGCCTGTGTACATGATGGCTGTGAGCCTACCACTTTGGCATCTTAGATGGTCTCATTATTAGGCAATTTTTTAGAATCTCAGTTCATCAAATAAATTTTTTGTTTGCTTTCCTTTTTTCCTGTAGAGGAGTATACTATTGTGTATGTCATCAAATCACGTTTATGAAAATAATAATATTATTTTATTTAATTTTTAAAACACTCATTTAACTTCAAATCAATTAATCTGAAGCTCTCTAACTCGAATTTAATAAAATAATAATATTATTTTATTGAAATTTCAAAACACTCATTTCCCTTCTCTAATCCTGTCTCTACTCTCTAGTCTACAGATAGATGATTTTACAAAAAAAAAACATCTTTTTTAAAATTTATACATGAATACTCTGTAGTAATTTCTCTGTTCTTTTTTATATTTATAAATTTTTCTCCGTTCCTAAATGAATTGCACTCTCAACTTTCAATATCTTGATCTTTTGATTTTTTTTTTAATTTTCATAATTTTATTGATCATTTGATAAAATAAAATATTCTTTGTACTTTTTATTTTGTAGAACTTTTGATTTAGTTTTTATATAATAAAAATTTTACTTTTTTACTTTTATAACAATTTGTAAATTAAGGTGAATGTAACTAAGAATGCAAAGTATGAATGAACTAAAGGACCCCGGGGCTATATTAATCTCTTGACGTCTAAGAAACACTGATCTCTTTGAACGAAAATAAAAAATCATTCATGCACATGCTAATTAGACTCAAGAGACAAACATCAATATCGTAAATAACTTTATCACTTATAATTACAAACTCCTAAGCTAACTATTCACACATAATTAAAGTTAAAGTAAATACTATAATTAGTCCTTTACAGTTTACAATAGGTTTTTTTCATATTTAATCTTTTTATCAAATATTACTCTCGATGTCCTTTTATGAATACCTTTTCACAAATAACTCTTTTTTGACCTTCTGTCATATTGGTGTTAATTTAAGAATTAAAAGTATAATTTCACATCAATCTCATGTCCAGTGACGTATTCTGATGTCAGTTAGACGAACACAAACATCACAACGTTAACGACCATGGTTGTTGTGGACAAGGATTCCGACAAAAGATCACATCTCTAGACTATGTTTGTAGTAGACAACACCTACGATTCACAAACAACGAGCGGCCTTTGGATTTGTGTATGACAAGGCATATATATGATCAATGTAAAATTATACTTTTAGCTCTCAAATTAAAACCAATACGGCAGAAGATTAAAAAAGACTATTTATGGAAAAATGCCTTTAAAAGAAGGGCCACAAACATAATATTTGATTATAGTAGACTAAATATGGAAAAATCTCTATTATAAAAGACCAGTTATAGAATTTTTTCTTAAAGTAAATACTGAGTAAATACAGAGTAATAAATATAACAGACATACTAACTGAGCAAGCAAAGGCCATAAGAAGATTTCAGACTTTTCAATGCTCACACCAGCGGAGATCACAAATATCACAACCAGTGGGCAGGATTCAAAAGAGGAATTTATCGCTCGAGATGTATGTCATTTGTATGAACATTCTTCATCTTTCAAAAGCTTGCGATCGACTTCTTCTGGATGTCAAATCTCGTAGGGAGTAGTTTTTAACTCCCACTGATAATGCTTGCATTTCAAGTGGAACCATTTTAGCCTGCCATCTCTGCATCACGAGTTGCACTTTCATCACTAGCCGATGAAGCGCTTATTATAGATGCAAAAACATGTTCAATTTGTAGAGGAGAACGTCGGACTGCATACTGGAACAGCACCTGGCAAAGTATTAAAAAGACATAAACTGAATGGATTTCGGCAAGTTGATGGACACTCAACAGGATACTTGTGTTGTAGTTAGGTGTGCCGAGGCTTTTACAGAATATATCAGCAAACCTTAGAGTAACTATCAGCAAAGGCACGAGAACGATTTGGTTTGCCAAGGTACTGCAAATCTGCCCTCTCCAGCTTCCCATCCACCAAAAGTAATCCACCTTCACCAACAGAAAAACGTAGAAGGTCTCCGTGGTGAAGTCCTGTCTGGAGAAAATAAAAAAAAGTGAAAATCAATGCAATAGATAAACAAATCAAGCAAAACTTTTTAAAATAATGTGAATAATGTAAATGGGTTCCCATCAACCACATTTCAAAGGGTATATTTCAATTATTTCTCATGTTCATATACACGAAAATGTTGAAACAGACTATAACACAGAACCAAATGAGGAACAAGTTACTATCATATAATGCTGTCCATATTATTCTGTCCATTTATGATTTCTTTTCTTTAAAATATCAGTTTAGAGTTTGTGTTGATCCCCTATCCAATGCTCTGAAGAATATGTGTGTGTGTGTGTGCGCGCGCTCTCTCTCTCCCCAACCATGAAAGTGTATACTGAACTAAAATTAATTTGACCTTTTGGATGAATTCTCCATTCAGGCATCCAAATATAACAGGAGGATCGTCAGATGTTGCCAGTTTTCCGCCATCCAGTAGCTCTAGAACCACCTGTTTGAGAAACAAAAGGAAAGTACTAGTAGTGTCTTACACAGTATTTTTGGGACCGTATGTTGGGCAATTGTCCCACATCGGATGAATATTACAATTGCCACCTCTATATAAAGAAAGGTGGAGCACTATCCATTGGTTTAAGCTTTTAAATACAAAGTGGATCTAGACTTTGTATGGGAAAGTGAAATTGGTCAAATCTCACCCGTCACTCGGCCCACCGAAATTTCAACAAGTATCAACATCAAATTACAACATAATAGAGTGACAATGACATTCTTCACATACCTGCTGTTCAGTTGGAATTTCTCCTTTATTATCAGTATCGATGACATATTGGCTACATTTCTCATCTTTCCAGACCAAAGCAAGCGGCGTATTCCCTGTTTGATAATGTGCTTGCCTATAGAGGGGAAGAGGGTAGAAGAAATAAAGTAAGAACTTAAAAAAATGAAATGTCATTGCTCATAAGTCATAATGCAGCAAGGATTTTCCTTTACTAAGGCAAAATGGGCCAACTACAATAAATGATGTAGGTTTTTAAGGAGAAACACATGAAGTGCAGTAATAATCATGGTAACAAAAATATATTAAATTGTACAGCCATTATTGTAAAAGGCTAAAAGCTAAAATACCCATAAGTTAAAAATAGGCTTACTTATTAATGAAAAGCAGACCATCCTTGGCATAAGGCACCGGCCCTGTATAAGCAGAATGAAGTCCTTCCTGGTCACAATTGTAGACTAGAACACTGCTAAACCTATATCTATGGTATGTTGAGGGAGCATCACAGGCCCCTGTCTCAGCAAGCTTAGTGTTCAACCAGTAGAATCTGAACTCTGCAGTGCACTCATACAACGAGAACCCAGCCCAACCTACCATGTCAATCACATAATATGTTTGATCTAACTGTCGAGCCACATAAGATCAGAAGTACATTAGGATAACTGCAATACTAGCTAGCAATAACACCACAAAGCATTCACAAATGCCAGGTTTGAATGTTACCTCGTGAAATACACAATCAAGGATGCAATAAGATTGAGAAGATTTATTATTAGTCCTCGAACCACTTGGTAGAGCAGAAGGAAACCGATGCAAGAGAGTGCCATTGCGTAGTCTACTGATAGTTGTCCCATTAGAGGAAACAACAAAACATCTCTTTCCAGCAGGTCTTGCGAATACATACCTGCATATCAAATCAAATTGTTCTGCTTGCTGAGTCAATTTTCTACCTCAACCAATGTTCTTTCGGTGTTTCAAATGAAGGCATAAAATTGACCAGAAAAACGCATTGTGCTACATATATTTAGTTCGAGTTTTTTGCGCCCTTTC